AAGCTACTTCTCACTTCCTTGGTTATTAATATACTTTTTTCTTCTTCTTTGGTTTAAGTGTTAAGGGAAGTTGAAGTTCTAGAGGAATTCAAGTTATAAGGAGAAGTTGCAGAAATTGAGGTAAGGTGATTGCTCCATTTTCTTCCTCCTTATGTATGAGTTTGAGTGAGGAATAATGGGTCTGCTGTCGTAAAGAACTCAAGGGGGTGGTGAGTTCAATAATCTGGTTGTATGATAAATAATACTTGAGGCTGTTTTATGTGTATTGTTGTTGGTGCAGTTTGGGTAATCTTGGAAAAGGATATATAATGTATGTATTGGGCAGAGAAGGAAGGTGTGGTGATACACATTGTTTTAAGGGCTATATGGGCTCATTATCCGTAAAAGTTTGCTACTGTTTTACGAGGCTCACGGTGTGATAGCTACTAATTTAAATTTATCATGCCTTATATTGTAGATTAAAACCTGAAAGGGGAGGCTGAATCATGATAGTTGTATTGATCAGAAGATAAGGTATGTAAGGCAATTCGATTCAATATTCTTCGGCATGAAATCTAATACTTGAGATTAATATCAATAAGTGAATTTCCTAAGTTCTATTCAAGTAAAGGAAACATAGTGGCAGCGTATGATCTCCAAATAGCTAACAATATTTCCCCCCTCTCCTTAGTGTATAGAATTACTTCATTATATGTTTAGTACTCTATACTTGTGTAATTATCCTCCTATGTGCTGGTATAGAAATGGTATATGCAAAAGCAAGTTTGGTAAATCCTCGTCTTAGTCAGTTGAAGTCAATTGTGTCATTTAAGCTCACAAGTAATGAATTGATGTAACATAGCTCCTTATGTCATTGTTACTGCCTTGAAGTATTATTTTCATGTCTTCTACTACTGGTCCGTAGTTCCAAATATCAAAAATAATTATGACCACCAAAACAACAATTTCAAAGATTAAAGAATCTATGTAAAGAAATCTGTATAATTAAGGGTGGCAACTCAGGGGCGGAAGCCTAGCATGGGCCGATCCCAATTGGTATAGAAGGGTGGCAGCTCAGGGATGTAAGCCTAGCATGGGCCGATCCCAATTTGTGTAATTATGACGACCGCATCCCAGGGGTTAAAATGCCTAGCATGGGTCATCCTCTTCTACCACTGATCAGCTGGTCATTCGTATCACATGCCTTATAAAGATCATAACACATAGAAAGGTAAAGACAAGAATGTAACATACATGATCCCACAAGAGTTAACAAAGGTGGTCTTCTGTTCTGATTTATGCACACATATATTGATACTTGGTTTCATTCAAACTCTTATTTTATATATGTTATTGCCTTACATATTCAGTACATTTTCTCGTACTAACGTCCCTTGTGGGGGATGCTGCAGGCACAGGTACTTCAACTAGTATACCTCCTCAGTAGGAGCACACGACACTCAGCTACTTTTGGTGAGTTCCAGATTGATTCGGAGCTTTACTAAGTCTTTGGTAGATTCATTTTGGGTATTGTATCGTAGTTAAGAGTAAGGTGGGGTCTGTCCCGACCTACTCTAAGGTTTTCTATCTTTTAGAGGCTTTGTAGACTTATGTTTATGGTTCAGTTGCGTCTTAACAAGTTGTGGCTTCAACGGCCAAGTCTTGTATATAAGTTTTTGGTCTACTTATGTTGGTTCGTATCGCTGCATCCTATGTGAACTTATCACAAGATTGTCATAGTTATATGCATAGTAAGAACAGGTTACATGTTGGTTCTCTCAGGCCTAGAGGGCATCGGGTGCCTGTCCATCTTAATGGGATTTGAGACGTGACATTACTTTACTAAAATCACATTCCACTTCAAACATTTTATCAAAATCACATAATTGAAACAAAGGAGCGGAACTAAGCATGGATTTTAAAGCCTCAAAGCCTTGGCTTGTTCCTCTCCCCACTTAAAATGTTTATCCTTTTGGATTACCTTTGTCAAGGGGGCTGTTATGGTACTAAAACCTTTGACAAATCATCTATAAAAACTAGCCAACCCATGAAAGCTTCTAACATCACTTATGGATTTCAGAATCGGCCAATTCTTAATAGCCTCAATTTTAGACTCGTCAACTTCAACCCCTCTTGAACTCACATTAAAACCCAAGAAGACAACTTCATCAACATAAAATGAACACTTATCAAGATTAGCATAAAGCTGTTCCTTCCTAAGCACATCAAACACACATCTCAAATGCTCAACATGATCATGCATGGTCTTGCTATAAATCAAGATATCATCAAAATAGACAACCACAAATTTCCCTATAAAAGGTTTCATCACATGATTCATGAGGCGCATAAAGGTACTAGGAGCATTAGTGAGACCAAATGGCATCACCAACCATTCATATAGACAATACTTGGTCTTAATGTGGTTTTCCATTCATCACCAGGGTTCATCCGGATTTGATGATAACCACTCCTAAGAACAATCTTTGAAAACACACAAGAGCCATTCAATTCATCAAGCATATCATCTAACCTAGGAATAATATGACAATACTTTACTGTAATTTTGTTGACGGCTCGACAATCAACACACATGCGCCATGTTCCATCTTTCTTTGGAACAAATAGAACCGGCACGGCACATGGACTCATGCTCTCCTTCACATAACCTTTGTTGAGGAGTTCCTCAACTTGCCTTTGTAGCTCCTTGGTGTCCTCCGGATTGCTTCGATAAGACGGCTTGTTTGGCAATTGTGATCTCGGCACAAAATCAATTTGGTGCTCAATTCCCCTAAGAGGGGGCAATCCACTTGGAAGCTCCTCTGGGAAGACATCCTCATAATCCTGCAAAATAAAGGAAATAGAATTGGGAAGAGAAGAATGAGATTGGTTAGTTTGTAGCACATGATTCCTATGTGTGATAAGGATCAACGAACTTTCGGACTCGATTTCCTCCCTTATCTCCTTGTAATTAGCCAACAATACTTGGGCCTTTCCTTTCAACTTCCTCCTCTCCTCCTCCTCTTGGCTCTCGGCCTCCTCCTGTTCCTCTTCACACCTCTTCTTCTCCCTTGACTCACTCATCCTTTGATATACATCATTGACTTGAGAGGGTGACACAGGGTGAAGGACATACTTACGATCATTCAATACAAGTGAATACTTGTTGGTCCTCCCATCATGTTTGGTTGAACGATCATGTTGCCACGGCCTCCCGAGTAGCACATGACAAGCTTGCATTGGGACCACATCACATAGAACCTCTTCTTGATACTTCCCAATCTTAAACTTGATCATCACTTGGAGATGTACTCTCAATTCTCTACACTCACTCAACCATTGAAGTTTGTAAGGTGTAGCATGCTTAGTGGTAGGAAGTTTCAAGAATTCCACTAACGTAGTGCTAGCAACATTGGTACAACTTCCACTATCAATGATTAAGGAACACACACTGTCCTTGATGAAGCATTTGGAGTGAAATAGATTCTCTCTTTGGCTCAGATCATCCAAAGCTTTACTAATCATTGCTCGCCTCACCACATATAGAGGAACAACACTCTCTCCTTCTTTGACACAAAGATATGGTTCCTCGTCTTCTCCACCTTCGAACTCATCCTCTTCTTGAGGATCTTCTTCACATTCACCTGTTGGCTCTTCCTCAGCACTTAAATAAATCTCCCCTCCTTGCATTAGAGAATTCAATCGATTGGGACACTTACGCATTATATGACCCCATCCCCTACACTTGTGACATTGAATACCTTGAGGGAACTTGGTTGGGTCAGTGATACCTTTGTCTCTAGGTGGGTACTTTAGAGTGTTTCCTTCGAAGGGATTCTTCTCATAAGGTTTCTTGACATTTGAACCCTTGTTCCAACCCGATGATGTGTTTGAGCTCCCCCTTTGTTTCTTGCTCCAAGAATTGGAAGATGAAGTCTTATACTTAGACACTTTCTCCTCCTTGAATTTCAATTCTATCTCATGGGCTGCCTCAAAGACATCATTCAAAGTAGCAAACCTATGAATGGTCATCTTCGAAGAAATCTCTTTGTTCAACCCTACCTTGAAGCGAATCATGGCATGCTCTTCAATCTCTCGATATTCGAGCTTCATGACTATGTTTTGGAATTCATCATGATAGGCTTCAACACTTATACTTCCTTGCCTCAAGTTGTACAATTTGGCAAGTAACCCTTGGAGGTATCTTTCCGGCACATACTTAAATCTCATCAATCTTTTCAATTCGGGCCAAGGTGGAGGATGACCTTCTTGAACAACTTAGTGATACCTCTTCATGTACTCACACCATGTGACATCATACCCTTCAAATTGGGCGATAGCATAGCAACTACTTTTGACCTCCGCCAAATCATTGACATTGAAAATCTGGTCACATTGCGACTCCCATTCTAAGTAAACATCGGGATTACATTCCCCTTTAAATGTTGGAAGAGTCATTTTGATAGAGTTGATGCCAACATCTCGGCCTCCATGGCCACCTTGGTCATTGTAATGGTAGCCCCTTGAATGCCCTCCTTGATAGCGGTTACCATGTTCTTCTGTAGCTTCCCGACCAACCTCATGATTGACATTGACTTCCCTTTGATCTCCACCTTGAGGGTGGTTTCCATGTTGTCTCCTATCAAATGGCATTGGACCCAATCTACCTCTTGGTCCACCTTGCAAGACTTGACCTCTTGGTCGATTTCTTGGTGACTCATTCCACGACGCTTCTTCACCTTCTCCTTCATAACCTCCTTGATCTTCATCATTCCTCACCTCATTCATGGGATTTGGTTGTGGTTGTGGTCTTTGGTAGGGAATATTTTGGTTAAGTGGTGTTTGGTAAGGATGGCTTTGATTTGGTGGAGCTTCTTGACTAAGCAAAAAATGGAACGGTCGATTGGAACTTTGTCTATTTGAACCCAATTGATTGAAAGTTGGGTGCAAAGCTTGGTGGAGGGTTCCGGGTGTGAGAGTAGGAGAATTAGTGTGATCATTCCCACTTGTAGAAGCACGAAAGGTATCTTGTGGTGTGGATTCATTGGAGTTGACTCTACCTTCCACAGTGGTCAACCTCCCATCCATCATTGATAGATCATCCCTCACATTGTTCAACACTTCCAATAAGGTTGCCAAAGTAATTTTTTCGACAGGTGCTTGAGTATCTCCTCCTGTCTCTATGGTACCTGACATTAAAACAACTCACAAACGCATCAAAAAACGTTAGCGTTAATAAAATGAACTCACAATCGCTCGTGTTTACACACCTTTGATTGCCTCTCAAATTGGTGCGGCTAATGTTGACAATCGTTTGTACTCCATTGGTCACTAGGTACCAATTTCTGCTCTTGGTTATAATAGATTCTTGTTTTAAGAAGAACATACAATTCAATTGAAACAAACGGACTTGAATCAAGAATTAACTACGAATTAAAACAAAAAAAGCACGAAAAGAAAAGGTACAAACAAAGAATTGAATTCAAGAACCAATAGTCAACAAGTAAAGTATTTACGAGTTGAAAACCGGTTTAGGATTCTTGAGAACGTTTGAGAATCATAAGAAAAGAAACTAAGAATTTAAAACCTGAGATTAGGAGTAACTTGAGTTTAAGATCGCCGAATGACTTCTTTTCTTCGCCAAAAGTAAAGTTCATCTCGCCAACTTGAAGATAGGCTCACCAAACTCAACAGTCCGCCAAGGCAACTCAGCGAGGTGAGAGGAAGTTTGGCGACTCGCCAATGGAACTCGGCGAATAGGCTTGGTCTCGCCAAATTTTCCAGTAGCTCCCTCGATTTGGCAACCACTTCGGCGACAACCTACCCAAAGGGCGAGTCGCGGAGTGGTTAGGTGATCCCCGTTCTTGATCACCTAATGGAACACTGCTGCAACTGCAATTTTTGAATTGGAAGATCCTATGGTCCCCTCCAACTCTTGTCCTTAGTATTTACCCCTTTTGGTAAATTCCCTCTTTAATAAACATTTTTACTCTTTCTATTTCTTCCCCTTTTGAATCAAACACTTTATTTTCAAAGATTCCCTTCCTTGAAGGTTTGAATGTTCTTCAAGAACTTCAAGAACTTCAAGAACAAGATGAACACCCAAAATAAAACCCTTAAAATTTTTGTCTCAAAATTTCACGAAAATTTAGGTGAAGGCTCTCCTTGCTGAGGGGAACAACATCCAATACGTTTTAACCTTCAATTCCAAACCAAAACCTTCAGATTTAAGAAACCCACTTTGTCTTCTCCAAGCTTCTTGAAAGTCTTCAATGGTGGAATCTTCAATATGGCACCAAAATCCTTCCAATCTCAGCCTAAGACTCAAATAGGGTTGGAGAACACTATTCCAACCTTAGAAACTCAAACAAGACTCAAATTAACAAGACCCATTTCAGCAATTTCACAAAAACGAAAATGAACAGACTTTTTTTGTAACAACAAAATCCAAGACTAGAATCGTAGGAACAATACTAAGCTCGGCTCTGATACCAATTGATACGATTCTCACAAGAGAAACGATGATAATATGCGGATATCGAAAGACAATAAAGTAAATATAGATAGATAGACATACAAGAGGAAACAAAAGGCAACCAAAGGGTATATTAAAACCCAATGACCTCGATTCGTTGATCCAACTATAGAACCTAACTCTTACGATGACCTCAAGGGAATCAATATCCCAAGCAACCAACGTTTCTAACAAAGTTCAACAACAACTTAACCAAGCTCTCAATACTCAAACATGAGTTTTCAGTTTTCAACATTCAAAATAATCTAAGTCTAAAATGAACCTAAACTAGCTATTTATAGTATGAGGATAAAAGGGCCCAAAAGTGACCCGAAGTGCCAAAGGGCGAGCTGGGTCGGGTCACCTAGTGGATTGGGCGATGCGCCAACCTGGTTGGAGAGTATTCATGCGTGGTCTTCAGCCATGGCCACATTCTGGAACTTTAGGCGAGCTGGGACCATCGCCTAGTGCATTGGGTGATAAGCTAAGTGGGTCATTGTAACGACCCTCAAAATAAAGTAGGATAAAGTAGAGCCTCACATGGGTTTTATGCATTAATAACTTGTCAAAATAATGAAGAATAGCCTTGTAATTCAGTTTTAAAGACTTTGGAAGTCAAACGTCAAGGGACGACCAAGACGTTCGGAAACTAGTTTTTTACGTGTTGGTGTGTTCTAGTATGTTGTTCATGTTTTTATGTGTTGTTTGGAGTCTAAAATCAGTGAAGGTGACCCTAGTGTCTTAATAAATGTTTTTAGGGTCAAAATGTTTGTATACGACGCCTCGGGGGCCACCCTAAGGGTCCCCGAGGAGGACCCCAACCTTGGCCAAGCAAGCTGCCAAGGCAGCTTGAAGTTGTGCTTGGAGGGAGCATGTCCGCGTCGCGAACTAGCTTCACCAAGGGCCAAATGTTTGGTCCGCATCGCGGACATGTCACAGACTCTACTGTCTCGAATTTAATTTCCAAAAAACTTGTGGGAACACCTCCGCGTCGCGAACTTGTTTCCCGACGAAATCTGTGAAAATAAAACTCAAGTTTGACTTATTTAAAAAAGGTTCCAACTAAGTGAGGGTAGTTTGGGTACTTTGGGGGAATTATTATAAATGGTTATTCTACCTATTTTAGGGTATTTTAAGTTGGTTAAAACCCCAAAACCTAAAATTAGACCCCATTCTTCAAATTGACCCTTCCCTCTCAAAATAGATTCTCTCAAAAACTCCATTGAAGACCTTGATGAAGCTCAAGCTAGAAGATGGGTTTTCAACTGATTTCTTATTCAATTTCATGGGTATTTAATAAGTAAGGTATGATAACTCTTGATTCTTGAATAACCTCTCATTCAAGGAGTTCTATCAAAGATTTTCAAAAGTGATTCAAAGACCAAAATTCCCAATTTTCAATCTAAACATGGGTTCCTTGTCAAACGATTTTATAAATAATTCTATTGATGAATTAATGTGGAATTATGGTTTTTAAGATAATTTTCAAAGGAATTCTTAAAGATCCCATGATCCCCAGATTCTCGAAAATTGGCCTATGATGTGGGTCTTTGTGAATATGATCTCTATTGGATAAATTATGTTTAGATTAGATTTTATTGATGTTTCCTATGATTATCTATACTTACTCATGTTGAATTGTTGGTATATTGATGAGTGGAG